GGAGAGTGGTAGGTTTAGGGGTGGAGATGGGTGGGTTTAGGGATCAGGGGGTGGAGAAGGGTAGGTTTAGGTATATGTAAGGTGGGAGGAGTTGGATCTGGATCTAACCACGCCCCTTGGATCTTGTGTTCTGCAGTGAGGACCATCTCTTCACACTGAAAATTCCAGAACGAAAAAGTGCACTTTAAATACCCGGATGATGCACTTAAATAACCGAAAAAACGAAACTTGCAAGTATGCTCTCGGCTTTACACCGAATACTACCTAATGAAACATTTTAGAGCGGACTAAGCGGAGAATAATTAAAAGTGTTTTAGGTTATAATCATAGGTAACATCATACATTTGATATTGTAAACAAATACTACCCGCCGGCTCGTTTGCTCATGACCATCATAATAGCTAATAACTAATATGCTTTAAAGGACATTAGGTGACTTTGTATTCTTAAGCTGTAGCGGTCAATGATGGTTAAGATGTTTGTTGCTGAATTAAACTGTTGGTTAAGTAAGTTAGCAGTTAGCTGACACATGACTAGCACTGACTGACACACTTTCTCTCTAACCCACCTTGGAGGACTCATCCTCGAAGTTCTGCTTCGGCTTCCTCTGGGCATGTTGCTTTTTTATGACGAATTCCAGAAAAGATCCGAGACTTGCTGAAAGCCCTGCTATTTTAATATGACTTTGCTGCAATTTACTCTTTCTGCACGCTTCTGACCTTCGCACTGTACTTATTATCCGGGGAACTTTCTAGCACATTACATCGTAACGTTGAACTTCCGCTCCTGCGCATGCTGTACTTCCGGAATAAGTGTACACTGTAGAGTGTGTGAAAAGCATTGTGTTTGTAACTGTAAGCAAATGAAACTTACTTTTAGTATTATATTTTAAATATTAATTTTAACTTTATTTTGTATAAGATATTTAAAAAAAAAAATAGAATAGAAAATGTATTAGCGCTAAGAGTTTTGCTCGTTATTTAGTTTAACTCATAAGTAACCTATACAATTTTGAGAACAAATCAGAACGACTTTAAAATGTGAAAAATCAATATTATACGCAATGTAAATAATATATAATTCTTGTTTAGTAATATCTATTCTGGATCTTCTTTACTTAACTGTGACTGAGTCTTTTTAAAATGTATTATTATTTTGCGAGTATACAAATTATACACAGAAATCAAAAACACAGAAAAGTAACTGTTAGATTGGCGAGTCTGCATCAAGATTTATTCATCACCTCGGGATACTTGACCCTTTCCATGACCTTCTCTATTAGTGTATAATTTTTTTTATTAATTTGATTTGATTTGAAGCATCTCATTGGATGATTTGGGTTTCTGGGCCTCCATTCACAGGACAATCAAGAGAAATGTACCTCCACATTAGAAACATCAATTACATTTCTATGAGTTCTCAAAGCCTGGAAATCACAATTTTAAAACAGTCTAATATTTTCTTGATTCTTGGAAACCTATGAATGCATGTGCAAGCTTGATCTGCAATTATCGGCAAGAGGAAGTAGCCATTTTTGAATACGCAGATTATTTCTTTATTAAACTGAATACATTTTATTTTCCAAATTCCAAATATACACTGGGCAATGACATCCAGGCAGCTTTTGAAAGGAAAAAAAAAAAAAGAAAAAAAAAGTTTAAACTGCTGTAAAACATTTTTAAAAAACGAGTCACAATTGTTCCCTAGCAAAAGCAATAACGGAGACCCATTATCACTATTTTAATTTGACAATCCAAAAAAAACAAAAAAAAAAACAATGCCGTCTTCTTTACAGGGTGACATTTCTAAAACTAAGGTGCTGAGTCCAGAACTAACAGTCAATCATGGTAAGCAATAATAAAAATAAAAATAAACACCGTTAACAAAACCCCAATACTGGTACAAAAGCATTTCAACTCTTCTCTTCCATTAAAAACAATGAGTTCAGTCAGTTTTACTCTCAGCTTATGCTGCGGCTCATTCAACATAAGATTAACTCAACACGTCTGCACACCCACTCACACAAATGAGCCTTTAAGGACGATAAAGTAGCAGGAAGATGAAGTGATGGAGTGAGCACTGACACTGGGACTGGGATGATGATGATGACAAGATGCTGTTCAGTTTGCATGCTGTGCAGTGGAGAAGCACAGCTTAAGTGTATATGGGTATGGGCCATCTGCAGAGGGAAACAAAGAAACAGGATAAGTACACATTTTTTAACATTAAAGCTGGGTGCAGTGAGGAACAAAGCAAGAACAAAGATATAAATACTACTGTTGTAAATTACAATTGTCCTGTAAAATTGAATATAGACTATTTGACATTATGTGATCACAAATTCAGTCCACTTTTGTGGCTTATTGTGTTTGAATGGATAAATACACACAGCTGTCAAAATGTGGAGTCTTCACGTGAACACAGCAGGTTGTCTCTTAAATCAAAGTAAACAGTTGTGTGAAAATCGGATGTTAATCAATATATTAGATCTGTGTATTCGGTCATAAAGGGAGAGCAGCCTAATTTAAATGCTTCTGTCTGTGTCATGAATGTTAACCACACAACAAAAGACAGAAAATTACTGCTCTTGACTAAATAACTGTATTTGTCCTATTGTTTGTAATTTGCTTTTTTGTTCTTATTTTTAAAGACAAAAATACCTATATCAAGATATATGCACTTAACAGTGAAATAATTTCCCTTTCATGCAAAAAAAAACAAAAAACAGATCACTTACTGGGGTTTTTCATCTGGTAATGGTTCATCATAGCAAGAGCTTCCATGGCGTCATTAACAGACTCCCACTCCAGAAGCCCTGACGAGCTCCTCTCCGATGTGGAACCTTTTCATTAAAGAAAAGAAGCATTGGACACATTACAACAACGAAGGAGCATAGATTACATTACAAGTTAATAGAGTGCACTATTTTATATTCGTTTGTGCTGAGCGTAGCTTTCTATGCTGTTATTTGCAATGCCTCAGTTAAAGACAGCACATTTTCACATACCTTTAGCTGCAAAAGGTTTGACATTGGCAGGGCTCTTTACATCAAGTTCTTCACAGATCTGATGAAGAGATGAAGGTTGTAAACGTACACATCAAATAACATCACGTGACAAGAAAGGTTCTGCCTCTGATGTGAACTGACCCTGGTGAAGGTTTCTGGTGAAGCCTCAGGTGCTGCGTTGAAAAAGTGTAGGACGTTGCTGGGATGCTGAATGCGGTTCTTTGCCGCCTGCTCTGGAGAAGTGAAACGGTTATTTCTGCTCCCGTGAAAGTCTTTGAAGCTGCTGCTCCCGTCTTCAAGCTCATAGGACTGACCGGGCATGATGGCCTGCTGCTTAGACACACTGACACGAAGAAGAAAGAAAAAAAAAAACACAGATGAAAGAGTTGAACTACTATCTATCTATCTATTAAGAAATTAAAAAAGAATTTGCATTTTACTCTGATACCATTCAAATCTTATTGCCGTAATTAAAAAAAAAATCTCAATGTAAATAAACAAAACTTTGTATTTTAACACAATGGAAGTATTTTTAATGCATTTAATGATTAAACAATGTGTATAAAAATTGTCACAAAAATATTTAAAAATTCCAAAAAATATTCTAATCCTAATAAGCTTAATTTGTTTTATGTAAAATATGCAATCAGCCTGCCATTACTGCATAGTTAAATAAAAACAATTGCAATTGGAACGTACCATACGTTGAGCTTCTGATTGAACAGGAAGTTGTTGTTGAGATGTGAGATGGCACGATCCACAGCATAGCAGTCTCCCATCTCCACCATAGCAGCTCCAGGCTTGCTCTTCATGAATTTCACCTACATTTAAACGGGAAAAGCGGATTTTAGATAAAGTTGTTCGCGTTTTGATAGTATCCAGCTTACATTTAGGTGTTCTACATACCCGTTCCACATTTCCATACAGGCAGAAGATGTTGAAGACCCTGTCTGCGTTTATTTTTGAGGGATCCAAGCCGTAGACCATGATCACCGGTGAGTCTGCATGTGCGCCATATTCACCAGGGGGCGGAGGAGGGGGGCCGTACTGTCCGCCGTAACGCTGACTGGTTCCACCACGCCTTGGACCAGCCATGGGCGGCCCCATCCGTCGGCCTTCATAGGGGCCGCCGTAGCTCTCCTCTTGGTATCCGTGATAACCTCCTGAGAATCCACAAATGACAAACAGACCACGTGGGGTGGGGGTTGTGGGCAGGTTAGGGGTAAACAAGCATTTTACACACCCTTCACTTTAGTTTAACTTTTAATGTCAACACAGCACCATCTTGCTGCCACTGTGATCAATGCACCCCAATTTGTTGTCGTTTTAACATCCACTCCCGTTTGCGAGCAAATGAGGCAAATGTGTTAACGCGTGTGCCCCCGCAAGCCTTACCATACTCTGGAGGGTGGTCTCCCAGCAGAGCCGGCTGCCTCTGGCGCTTGTTGGGGTTGGCATTCATATCTGAGAGGCAAGAGAAGGAAGAAGGCAGAGAAAGGAAAGAAGGAGGGGCCAAAAAGAGAGGGGGGGAGAGAGAGTGAAAGATGAGTTCGCTGAGAGGTGACAGGACACTGACTTTGTGAATGTTAATGTGATTGGCATGAGCTTTAATTTCAGCAAAGAAGGGGGACACATAGGACAACAGAAAAAAGGGCCGATAATACTAGGGTGAATCTCACAAAAATGCTTTGCTCACAAAGATAATGAAACCTATCTTTAAATTAATGAATTTTGTATGGTAACATTTTCATGACAAATAAAGCACATCTTCTCCTTAAACTGTCATTAATGTCTGAACATCTTTTTTTTTTTTTATCTCACTATCAACGGTGGTTCTTATTACTGTAAGGGTGCGTTCAAACTTGTCATGTTTGGTTCGATTAAAACGAACCCTGGTGCAATTGCTCTGTTAGTGCGGTTCAGTTGAGCATGTGCGAACACTGCCATCCGAACCCTGGTGCGCACCAAACAAGCAGACCGAGACCGCTGAAAAGATGGGTCTCGGTCCGCTTCCAAACGAACTCTGGTGCGGTTCGAATGATATATGAACGCAACACGGACCAAATACTTCTAAACGAAACAAAAACAGGAAGTAATGACAAGATGCGACACTATGCGATATGATTTGACGACGCGGTGTAACCAAAACAAAATGAGCAGAGGCCAAACGTGGAGCAACGAGGAGGTAAAGTGCCTTATATTAGTTATTTGTGAGTTTGCAGGTGGTGAAAATAAAATTATATGTACACGCAAGAATGAGCGCGCTTAGTCCAGCAGACGGCATTGAGGTGTGTTCGACTTAAAGCGGCGCTGAGCAGACCGATCGGTTAATGGATGCTTTGATATCATACACCTGCAGCGCCGCTTTAAGTCTAATGCACCTTTTGATTGGGGTGTTCAGTAAGTTCCGTCACGATATATACGTCATTCAAGCCGACCAATCAGGTTGTGAACGTATCACTATGCCTTTAGATGCACTGTCTTTAGGTTCGCTGTCAAAAATGCCAATGTCAATGCTAAGCGGACCAGGACCAAATGTATCATTTTCCTTTTTGGTCCGGACCAAATGAACTGAACTAGTGTGAACACAACCTAACAAGTGAATTTTTAATGCATTACAAGATAAAATACTGCAATTGGATATAAATATTTTACAGTTCAAATATTTTTAAACTGCAGTAATGAGACTTTTAATTGAGGTGGGGCTTTTATATGAATGATAATTACAGGGTTCTTATTCTTCTTAAAAATTTGTTTTTTTCTTTCTTTTGATTTTGGGGTGAAATGTTACATTTCGTCAGGTATTGTGAGACTGACCTATGAAATATGACCTATTTATTACTACTCACAAACCTGTCTATCACAGTCAGCTGGCTAATAAACATACAGGCTTTCTTTTGGGGTGTACCCGCCCCAAACAAATTCTGCTTTGTTCGCGGTGACAATGTATGCACATCATATACAATGTTTGGGAGTGAGTGGGTGGGGGAGGACAGAATGGCTACGGCAGACACACACCTTGATTGCCCCCATTGCCATCAGCATCTGCGCCTGTTCAGGTACACACAGTGCAAACATCAATCTCACTGACATTTCTGAACAATCACATAACAGGTTTCTTACTCTATTCAGGATCTTAACTGCTTAGGTCACCGTACCTTTATGTTAACTAGTTGGGCAGCACAGGAAATTTAGAAACGTGATCATTTACTTAGTGTGAGCTAGTTGTGTTTTACATTAGGCAGACTGATTAGCCGTTTTGAAAACTTTTACATGGTACAGAGATTATCTCATGCCTCAATCAATGATCCAAAGCCCAAAGAATACTTCAATTTTGAAGCGAAAGCTCAGCGTATGCGTACAGCCGAACACAGCGTTTCAAAGTATACTCCATTTGACAGCATGCGCAAACAGATGATTGACACATGCACAGTAAAGTTTCATCCTCGTCCAGTGCCTGTGTGATTTCTCTCCAGAATTTACGACCAATCAAACGTCTTTGTACTTGTCAACGAGGCTGTGCACTGTCGCTGCAGTCTCCTGTAGGTTGTTGTTCCATCTCATCCATTTTTTTATTTTTTAGCAATTACGAAGCAGTGTTGCCACCTTGTGGAGCAACTTTTTAATGCAAAAATTTTAGGTGCATATGAGAGCATAACATACAATATTATGCACACGTACAGTATTACAGTGATGAAGACATTTACACAGAACACTGTATGCACACTCTAGCAAATGCATAAAACTGAAGTATATTCTGGGCTTTAGTATCATAGCGGGCCATCTTGTTAATAGTGTAAATACACAGAATGGTGCCACAGTTGGGAACTAGCACCCCGTCGGTGGTAAACTAATCATGCAAAACATCTCTAAGCTCACAGAAGAACAGCCCAGCCCAGGAATACATTTTAATGCACCTTGCTGAACTACATCAATTGGTAGCCCAATGAGGAAGACCAAAAAAAAAAAAAAAACAACCAAACTCAACTGGGGAAGAAAAGATCAAGTTAGTCAAACATTTGGTCATACACCCCCATGAAACATTAGACTATAAGCGTATCACTCCAAGACAACAGAAGCTTGGGGTTACTTACAGTACAAACGCAAGGGTTGGGGTTCAATGATGGGGCAAGTAGAACATGCCGTAAATTAGCCACCGTTGAGTGTCTTCATGGCATCCTCCTCCATATCGCACTTGAGAACTTTCCATTTCTTTCCCCCACCAGTCCATTCCACTGATTTCCCAAGTACTCTCCTTGTTTCAGACGGGTTTCAATGCTCCACTGATGCCAGCACAGACGTCATATTCTCATTTCAATGCCTGTTGGTTGTTGAAAAGCTGGAGCAATTTATGCCCAATTCAGACTGACTGGTACTTCCACTAGAGACACAAAGCCAACCTGCATTATACGGAAGGTGTTACACAGTAGTCAAACGACTGGAAAAAAAAAAAGGGAAAAACGTCACATATTGACAGAAAGAGAGAGGAGGAATCGTGAAAGGGAAGGACTAGAGGAAGAGGACACATGTTGGGGGAAAACAGTGTATCTGAAACACCAGCCTCCAGGGAAGAATGTCAGTGCTTAACTGAGTAACAAAAAACTTGATGTGTCGGCTGTCTGCATGTCAGTGCGTCTGCTTGTCAAAATGTTGTCTGCAGTGTCTTCGGTGTCTCGAGTGGTTTAGTGTCATCAGCTGTTGACAAGTGAAGAGTCAGGCATGTCGATTTGTAGGTGTCGGGGTTTGTGTTGTAACGATCGGCACGGCGAGAGAAAGACAACGTAGCCCAGAAAAAGACAGACAGGTTCAGAGAAGGCTGTGGACGTCAGCAGTTTGTCATGAATGAAGAGGTCTGTTTGCACTGTGTTGTGGTGTCACTTGAGGATGCGTGTCAAAAACATCCCTTGTTAGCAGTGAGGTTAAGGTGATGTGTCACAGTGGAGTGTGTCTTGTTCTTGACCCGTAAGAAACAACGGGAGAAAGTTGAATGGGTGTGGGAGCCATAACTACTTGCACCGACAACCCCAAATCCTTCAATGTCTTCGCTGGCAGTGTCATTTCTGTAGGAGGTGATGAGTGCTAAATGTTGCATGATCAGGTGTTTGTCAGGATGCCTTGCAGAGAGTAAAATCAGTGTTTGTCCTTCTGGAGAAATATTCTCGCAGTTGTGGTTTGAAGACTGGTACAGTGTTGGAAGTCTGAGGCACTTGTGTCTTCAGTGAAATCTAGGAAATGTCCCCCAGTGTCCAGATGTATTGAGTGTTCTGTTGTTGCACTTGATATTCTGGAAAGCTCTGTGCTTTCATATTGGTCTCTAAATGTACTGCATGAATGTGAGGAGCAAATGGCCGGAGTGAGCACCAAAGAACATTACATTCAAACGATCTTGAACGGACGTGGAACTGAACTGAATTTCTTTGGGCACACCGTTGGTGGCCATGAATACCTTTGGAAAAAAATCATGAGATCCTAAAAGTCAACATGAAATCATAATTGCCCCCATTTACTTTTAATACATGTTACCCATCGTTTTGTGGTCAAATAATCAATGCATGTTATTCCAAAGAATAATGACTTTCTGTTTCGAGTGACATCATCAAGCACATTTATAAGGGTCTAATAAATTACCAATAGACAAAATCAAGAATCCCCCCTGCAGTTTTCTCTTCTTTAATATAACTTCACCTGGAAAAGTAAAATGGGTTGCAAACAGTTTCATGTTGACCGTAAAAGGTGTCGGGGTAGACCAGGTGTCAAACTCCAGAGCCCTGCAGAGTTTAGATTTAACCCTAATTAAACACACCTGATCCAACTAATCAAGTCCTTCAGGCTTATTTGAAAACTACATGGTATGTGTATTGGAGCAGTGTTGGAACAAATCTCTACAGGGCTCCGGAATTGAGTTTGACACCCCTAGTGTAGACCATGGACTGATAATCTGCCTCTATGATGCTAACCCAGTAAGCCACTTGCCCCTCACACTACTGGCATGTGACAGGCTTTGCTGGAAAAGGAAGCTTGTGAGATATCGGCAGGACAACATTCTGAGGAAGCCTTAGAAAGATCACAGGGATACGGCTTTACCTTCCCCTCAGAGAGTCACGAAAACATACACAACATGCGGTGTAGACGTTGGTATGCCTAACACTCAGCACAAGGGAGGTGAAACAGCGGATTCATTGCCGCAGTTCTAAGACGTCCCAATCCCACCCATATTATTATTTCCCCCACAGTGGCAGTAAGGGCGCTGAGAAATGTCAGAGCAGATAAACGGTACCTTGGCTGCTCAGGTTCGGATTGGTGTAGTCCCATGTGTCCTGGTCATTCTTGAACACATTAAGGCGTGTTGGCTAAGAGTAAAACAAACAAATAAATTCATGAAATAACAATTATCTTTCTACCAGCTTGAGTAGGGATGGGTAATATTGAGTATTAACTTAAAATATGTGGGTAAAAAACGTATGTAAATAAATGGAGCCATTTATTTTGTATTCGTATGTTTATTATTATATATTGGTGCATTAATTAATTTTTTTGTATTTAAACTTGATTTTGACTGTTGCTTCAAGATTAACTGGCTACAAAATGAATGTTCCTCTGAAACCACATTTTCAAGCCATTCAGAAAATGCATATAGAGTATCATCAAATGTCTGAAAAATAATGATTGAATTATTTTAGCATTATCACCCAGTAAATTTAGATGAAAGCTCACCTTGGCATACTCGATCTTTAGTGTGCAACAGCCAGAGTATATATCAGCCCCATTGAGTGAGGCCTTGGCCCTTTGGGCGCTCTGAACAGAATCAAATGTGTGAGGAATTAAAGAAAAACAAAGGGAATCATGTGTGCCATGACTACAGAGGTTATTTAAAGTGTTCTTGGAATGCAGTATACTTTAGGTCAATCGGTTTGGACAGAAACCTCCAACAGTGCTTGTAAGACATTCATAGTCCACATGCGAAGTGGACTCAAATGACAAGATGAAACAACCCTGACAAGAGCGCAATGTCTCATGAACACAAATTACAGCTGGCAGAATCTAACAAACAGCTTCGCTCTGCAGTCTGAAGCAGTAAAGGATATTCCACCATGGCCTGGACACCATTCTTCCTAAAGATGACGATTCTCTGAACAGGACCACAGTTGTTGCAAATAGTATAGAGAACATCCTGTAGAACAACAAGAACATTAGTGTGAAAAATCTAATTAAGCATCAATGATATTCCACAGTGGAGGTGGGTATTACCGTGGTAATGGGATAAATGGGGTTCATGATTGTCAATAGCAAAACATTATTAACACTGCGGGAATCATCAGGGTCACCCGGCCGGGATATCTTCTGACTGGTAGAGTAGTTTACAAACGCAGGATGTCCGGCGATGTAGATCTGGTTGTCGTTGGCATAAGTAACAGCATTGCAAGACCCATTCATATCCTCATATTCAACCAGGGCTTGACGCTTCTTAGGCATGAGTACAACGTAACTGCAGAAAGATGGAGATGCATGATCCTCAATGCATTTCACTACAGGCAGAATCAAGGTACGGCACAACCGTAGCACAAGTTACCTGATGGTTCCAAACTCTTGCAGGGCTTCAACGATGTCTGCTTCCAAAACTCCGTCCACTAAACCTCGGACATGCACCACAAGAGAGGGAAGGGTCTTGTGTGGGTCAACGTAGTCCTCCTATGAAATAAATCATCCCATTAGTCCAGTAAACTGGCATAATCAATCAATTTATAACAAGAAAAAATTAATCTAAATACAAACATTGCAATTTGTGTGTAATACTGACTTTGTGCATGGCATGCGGTGTATATTGTCTTTACTTTGTACAAACTGAGCAAGTTCTATAAATGTATATGTATTAATTGTCATGTACGTTGTGCTAATGCACGTTGTTTTTCCCACTCATTGTGATTAATAACGCGCTATTCAAATGTGATTACGGTTGCATGCAGCATAATCCATTCATTCAGCAGCCTATCAGAATAACGGTATATAACTTATGTGTGGCGTGGAAAATACGTGCATCTCTTACTAACACATCAAACAGTCGCTACATGATCATTTTCTGTTTTCATATTCGTGTTTTTGTAATCCTTCTGGTGCAGAAATATCAGCGTGATGTAGCTCAATTGTTTGGTTAGCTGGTTCGCTAACTAAAGCTATTTTAGCCAGCTAGCTAACTAACGCTAAGTCATATAAAAACCGTAATAAAATAACAGATAGTGTGTAAGTAAAGATTTGTCTTACGGTCGCCATTCCACCCTCGTTTTCCGTTTTTTGGCGTTTTGTTGCTCTGCCGCCTTCACTGTAGTAGCGGGCCGTCTGCGTCGCCATGTTGTCCCGTTACGATTCACGCGCAACAAAATGAAATGGACGAAAACTACAGAAAATGGGTCAGGCGGGGGTGACGCCCACCAAGACAAGAACCGTCAATATTACTGGTGAAGAGAAACTGTCAATCACCATTGTAGTCCAATAAAAAAAGCGTGGCTCTACGTTCGGCCAATGATTGGACACTACAGTTGTCACTCAGAACAGCTCACTGATATAATTAGAGATTATGTAGATCCGTGGTTCAGATTCTATCAGCGTGTTGATAGTACGGAAGCCCCACGGCTTAGTTTTCTGAATCTAGTTTCTCGAACTTCTCGAAGTATCCTAGTGAATTATAATATTTAATGTGTTGCTGTCTGGATCACGACTTAAGTTGCTTTCCCAAGATGACGAACATTTTCTCACGAAAACAGGCGTTATAGTTTAACCACTAATGTTTATTTATTTAAAAAATTCGCATATAGTGCTAAATAAATACATTTTAATTACATTTTATTTATCTGCTCATTTGCAGGATTAAAAAAGGACTGAATTAAACACAATTCTTTTTGATTTTAAGGTTTGTTTGTTTGTTTTTTGTAGTGTATATATATATATACTGTATATACACTACAAAAAATAACAAATGGTGTTTAATTAATATCATCAGGAGGACTAATAGTACAATAAATAAATTAGGACAGAGTCATAAACTTGTGATCTATGAATTATCGAACTGCAACAATATAACTAAACATTCTTCTCTACAAATTGTCCAAAAGATAGTTATTTTCTTTCAAGTCTATTCTATTTGCTTAAGAACAAATCTGGTATATAAGGTCTTTTTCCATCATCATTTATTTGTCAAATATAGACTTACACAGTACCAAAATCAAACAGAACTATTGAATAAAATACATCTCATCAGTCAAAGGGTTAAATTTGATAGCCCTACTAATTATTAACTTGTATTTACATGTTTTTTTATATATAATTTACACTGTAAAAAAACAATTAAGTAAAAATTAGTGGAACCATTAAAGGGTTATTTCACCCAAAAATGAAAATTAGGCTGTGTTTTACTCACCCCAGAGGCTCAGACGAATCCAGTCGGAGTTATATTAAAAATTGTCCTGGCTATTCCAAGCTCTATCATTGCAGTCAGCGGGTGTTGCAGTTGAACAGTCCACAAGTCGTCAAATAAAGCTTGCGCATCCATAAAACGTGCCTCACACGTAGTGAATCCATTAGTTTTTGTAAGAAACGTAATAAACACTTTTCTCTCACTTCCGGTATCTGTCATACGTGGAAGCAGTTCTGGCGGATGACGTAGGACGTATGCGCAGCGCACGCCTCTGAGATATGCTAGTCTCGCGAGTTTGTTTATAGGCAGGGGCGGACTTACCCATTAGGCAAAGGTAGGCGACCGCCTTGGGCCCCCAAAAGCCAAAGGCCCCCTAAAATGCTTTTCATAAAGGATATGCGCATTAAGTGCGGACACGTGAACGTTTGCTGTTTACGGTGTTTATTACCACGACAACCGTCCGAGTCAGTGGCGCCTGCAGGTGTACGACTACTTACTGTGACTTTCATGAGATCGGGTTAGCCTACAACAATTAATTTGTTGGCTATTTTACAAATGGGAATACAACGAATTCATAACAATGTTTACATTCAAGCTACCCGTAAAAGGTATAGTGAAAAGTACTATAAAAGCGTCTGGAATGCAATAAAGTAAATTTTAGGCAAGTCCTGATGATTTGAGAAGGCTAAATTGATCAAACATAGGCTATAGGCTATGATCAATTCACTGTCTGCCGCTGGCCTTTACTTAAAAAAAAAAAAAAACGTACATTTTTTGTAAGTTTTTGTAAGTTGATGTAAGTTCAGTTGGACTGTTCAACTGCAACACCCGCTGACTGCAATGATAAAGCTCGGAATAGCCAGGACAATTTTTAATATAACTCCGACTGGATTCGTCTGAAAGAAGAACGTCATGCACACCTAGGATGCTTCGAGGGTGAGTAAAACACAGCCTAATTTTCATTTTTGGGTGAACTAACCCTTTAATGGAAATAATGGTTAAAGATCGCTTTAAAAAAACAGTCAAGAAGAATCTGCAAAACAAAAACTGTAAAATTAAGGTCAAATATCCTAATTTATATCCTAACTTTTCTTAAATATTTTGCAAAAAAACACTGTTACTTTACAGGTATTTCTTGGATTATCACTGAGAAACATTCTCTGTAAAATATAAATCTCTATCAGTTAACCAGCTTACAACAGCACACATACATGAGCCAATGTAACTATCACTGCATCAGCAACTACAGTTACTGCCTTTAAAGGGGTCATATGATTTTGCTAAAAATATAATTATTTTGTGTATTTGGTGTAATGAAATGTGTTTATGCGGTTTAAAGTTAAAAAAACACATTATTTTCCACATACTGTACATTACTGTTTCTCCTCTATGCCCCGCCTTTCTGAAACGTGTCGATTTTTATAAAGCTCACAGGTCTGAAAAGCGAGGTGTGCTCTGATTGGCCAGCGCTGCACACATCTGAATATTTGGGTTGAAGTGTTCTGGAACAGTGTTGTAAATACAACTTAACCACTGATTTCTAGTTGTGTCCTCTTTTGGAAGACCAAACAAAGTAGTTTCGCTTTCACAACGAAGCACACAGCGCCTTCACGACATGGCGGCGGCAACAATACTACAGCGAGAATAAAAGTTACACCTTCTTTCTTTGCGTGAACATTTGGGCGGCGTTACGCAAATCTTCCCACATCGTGACCTAGATATGTGGGGGCGTGTTAGAACGAGCTGTTTTAGGTAGGTGTGGCTGACTCTTATCTTTATATATATATAACTATATAAAAGAATAATTCTTTGGATTTGAGACTTTAGTCTTTGCAACTTTACAGATATTCTTTATGCACCAAGAGCTTGTACCACTCCAAAAAATTGGAAAAATTGAAATCACATCATATGACCCCTTTAAATAAAGCATCAGTTTCTTGTTCTTTTCTTGGACTAAAGCACAAACTCTGCTCTTCTGCACAATGGTGACCCACAAAACTCAGACAACAGAAACCCTTTATACCCCAACAGAACATTAAACACTAACAGATCTCTCTAGATCTCAGCATCTTCACTAATTACAAACCAGTCTGACTTTATTTCTTTCATACAAAACCTCTAATTGAGAATTAACTGAGGTTTAGATATGAATGTTTTATCGAAAATAATAAAGTTATTAATTAGGCCACTACATGATGATTGCATCATCATCATCAATAAGTAACCAACTTCATCGGATCAGATTTTTTTCTCACAAGTTTTGTTATAATAAATGTGCTTTAGAAACACAGTTACAGCAGTCAGAGGAAAAACTTATTAAATAAGGAGATTTTACTTTAATTTTAAGGTTTTTGTTTGGCACCCTGTGCTGCCAGTCATTTGACCGTTTTTTTATCTTTTATTTTTACAGTGAAGGTCTTTGAACATAATTCAGGAAATAACCGTAAAATAACATTGGAGATTTTACATAAATTTTATGGTTTTATCATCTAATGGTTTTGTTATTGTATTATTTACAGATTATTTTTGTAATTTTACATACGTTTGTTTGTAATTTAAGAAAACATAAAAATACTGTAAAAACATACAGTATTTTTTCTGTATACAAAAATGTCATTTAAAAAATTGTCATTAATGTCATAATACTTAAAATAACAGCCGAGTAGTTAATTTAGAGATAATTTGACATAGTTTTGACTACAATTTAAAATAAAATAAAACAACCTAAAAAAAAAAAACAGTTATTTTCCATAAAATTAAGATTAAAATTCCATTTTTTGTTTTGTTTTGTTTTTTACAGTGTACAAAAGTTTGGGATCAGTAATATTTGTAATGTGTTTTAAAGAAGTCTCTCCTGCTCATCAAGGCTGCATTTATTTGATCAGAAATCAGTAATATTGTTAAATATTATTACAATTTAAAATAATTTTTTTTAATTTTAATATACTTTAAAATATAATTTATTCCTGTGATTAAATAGTGGAAACAGTTGTGCTGCTTAATATTTTTTGGGAACCTGTGATTCTTTTTTTCAGGATTCTTTAATGATTAAAAAAGTTAAAAAGAACAGCATTTATCCAAAATAGAAATCTTTTGTAATAATATACACTATTGTTCAAAAGTTTGGGGTCAGTAATTTTTTTATTTTCTTTTTCTTTTTATTTCTTTTTGAAAGAAATGAATGCTTTTATTAAGCAAGGATGTATTGAATTGATAAAAATTGATAATAAAGACTTATATTGTTAGAAAATATTTCCATTTTAAATAAAAACTGTTCTTTTTTAATTTATTCATCAAATAATCTTGAAAAAAGTATCACAGGTTCCAAAAAAATATTAGCACAACTGTTTCCAACATTGATAATAAAATATTAGAATAAATCAAATCAATCAAATCAAATAAATGCAGCCATGATGAACAGAAGAGACTTCTGTAAAACACATTAAACATCTTACTGATCCCAAACTTTTGAACAGCAGTGTATATTAATGACTTTAATGTCATTTCGCAAGGAATAAACAAATATATTCCCTTAATTTGACTTTTTTCATTTGGTCATGAGATGGTCAGTATGCTGAACAGGTGACACATCAGTTTAAGCATGTGGTGTCCTTGCTCTAGGGGCTAAAAATGACAAGGTTTTGTGTTCGGACTTGTCATGAATCTGGTCCGTGGCCTTCCGTCCGATTGCCACCAGAGGTCACCCTTTCATTATATTGACTTTCACATCACACAGACTGTTACACGTCACCCTGGACTACATTTCCCATGTTACATTGCACTGATTGGACTCATCTGCAGTCAATCACACACACACTATATTACACCCACTCAGATCCTTCTCAAACTGCCGAGTATTGTTTGCGTTTATAGCTCTCCAAGTGGTAGCACTTTATGGAGCCAGTTCCCTGTCCTAGTTCTCTGAATCTAGTTTAGTCTTGTTATACCCGTGTCTTGATTCCAGTCTGTTTATCTCGTCCTGTCTGTCAGCTGCCTGCCCTGGAATTATTGCCTGCCTTGGATTATCTCTTTGTCTTGCCGTTTCGGACTCTGTTCGCTCCTGCCTGGATTATTGCATGTTTTTTGGATTACCCGTTTGCCTCGCCCTCTGGATTACATTTGCCGTCGTTTGACCCATGCCAGTATATGGAATACTCTTTTGTCTTGCCCTCTATATACCTGTTTGCCATTGTTTGACCCTGCCTGTTTCATATGTCTCTGAATAAAGCTTTGCATTTGGATCTACACGTCTCACATCTCGTTCGCCCCGTTACCGGGCTATAGCAAAGAATGTCACATTCTATTATTGAGCAAAACACTTGCACCTGCACGAGCGGTGATGGACCTAATGGTTACACTGTTGTTTTAAAGCACTTTCTATTTTATTTAATTCTATGCATGTCTACATATAGAGAGTTACAGTAGGCTATATAACATAAAACCCCATTACACTACAGATTGTAAAATGCAAAAATTTTATCAAGTAAAATCTTTCTTCCCCATTTATATTTGAAAAGCTATAAGAAAACTCTTTTTGACAGTCAAGGGCAGCAAAGAGTCAGAGTTTCAGAATATAAGAATTTGTCTAACCTTGTCCAGTCCGGCTCCTGGAGGGCCAACGTTCTGTTTGTTTAACTTCCTCCAACAGTTTTTTTTTTGAAGTGATCCTGAAGACCTTAATTACCTTGTTCAAGTGTGTTAGTGCTGCAGTGATGACACACTTTTGTAGGCCAACCTGGAATGCAGTGCCATTCCGGTTCACTCAGCAAAATCCCAATAGGTTTTTTTTTTTCCATTGATCATTGCAAAAATTAAGCTCTGTGATCAACATGATTCTTACACCTATTTGTTCATCATGATAACCTTCACAACATTTATACATTTTGAAGCCTTAATACAATAGGCAGAACATATACAAGTATAAGGTCACATGACTTTTCCAACAATTTATCCCGAACATTTGACTTAGAATAGTTTGCAAGAGCACGATTATTAACACAGCGAGGCTGAACCTCTGAAGTCCCATTTAGTCATTTGTTAGCAAACGCCTTTTCCAAGACAAATAAAAGCTAGTAAAAAGTCACAAGTGGATAGATGTTATGTTTAAAGGTCACTGATGGATTTTATGTTGCAGAATAAGCCGCATAACTTTTAATGCAAACAGTAATTTTAGAAACTAAACTAAACTAAAGCTCCACTATTTCTACTCCACTTCGATTCAGTTTTGATTATTATATGTGTTTTTATGCCAATATATCATCACTATTTCTTTGAAAAATATCTATTTAAAAAATATATATGTTTATATTCCGTATCAAATATTATCCTTTGCCTAGCCAAATCACATTTGAGAGGGTCAAGTTTACATTCATATAGTATGACTTGGTCCGAAATAGTGCATCCACACCCATTTCTTGCTAAATCAAACGATATGAATCATATGAACTTTGATATACTGGTCTCAATAAAACAGACCTATCATTAAATTGCATTATACACCTTTTGATGGGAGTTATTATTAATTATTAATTAACATTGAGATTATCAGAAACCTTTATTTGCTACACTGAAATTCTCAAACATGGAGCACCAAATGAGTGTATTTGGTTGAAGCTGTTCATTAAAATTGATTTAATAAATATACACAGCACAACACCAAACCCAGATGGGAATATCCAGTTATTTATGGAGCATTAGTTTTTCTTCTTGAAGACTTGATGGCAGAGTTTGTCCTCACAGTAGATGTCCTAAAAAGAGAGGGGGTTAGCATGGGCATATACACTAAAATATTCATGAATATACACTTAAAAAGTGCCGAATTGGAATTGTTACAAAACGTTCCATAGTATTGTATGCACAGTGACCTTGGGGTGTCACGTTTGCAAATAGAATGGCACATTTATATAATGATAATTCAGTGGTATATAATAAAGTATCATAGTTCGCCAGAAGCGTAAACATGTATTTCTCCCTTTGTTGCCTCATTTATTGACTTGTCCCTTTATTCTTGAACAGGTGGCCTGAGGATGTTCTTTACCAAGTGAAGCAGGTCTCCTTCAATCCATTGCCTCCAGCCGCGGTTCTCCTTTTCTCCCTTTTGCACACACACCAGTTTATCACCATCCCATATCACAAGGGTCTGAAAATAAATATTTCAATTTTTAATCAGTGTAAAAGATGGGGACACCCCCACCCACGTACGGGAATGTCATGAAAGAAAATATAAGATTTTCTTTCATGACATTCAGAGCCAATTATTATTATACTTAAATTTGAACTAGAACCGCAAGTGCATTAAAGCAGCAAATACACTGCATTTATCATTCATAACAATGCACTCAAATATATTTAGGCCTAAATTTAAGATTTTCTTTTATTTGATTGCAATTTCCACTCATTTGGATTACACACTTTTATAAACAAATGTAATAAACTTAATGTAAAAGATGTTTGTGAAACCGATTTCTGCACACACACAAAAAAAATCATGGCAGTTTATTATTAACTACTTGTATCTATTTGATTTTAATTTAATTAATAATGTTTTCAAATTGCATTTATTCAGACCGCTTAGTATCAGCATAAATCAACAATTACATTTATTCAGTTAAAAGTATGAATATTGTTATAATATGGCTAGCTGTGGAATAAGCAATATTTAATTAGTTCAAATGTATGAGATTAAAATAAATTGGCTTTACTGATGACGATGACTATATAAACCTGGTTATTGTCTATTTAAAATACATGTAGTTTTTTTTTTTAAGTAATATTACAGAAATTCTTACCTTCATTTATGAATGACTATCAAATATGCATCACATTAAAGGTGCAATAGGTGATTGTCTTCAGAAACATTTTTTGTTATGCTGGTTGAAAGTCTCTTCGCATCCCGATAGCAGTTATTAAGTTAAGTGGTCTAAATGTATTTATCTGTATTTATATATTCTGTGGAAGGCGTAGGACCAAGAAATGTTCGTCCAATCAAAACGCTCGGTCCAAGAGTTTTAATTGGCTTGCCTACCTGCCTGTCAACGTATGTATTAGCATACCTCTGCGCACCCGGTTCAGCGCAGACAGGATACGTCATCAGCAAGTTCACGCACGCTGTGCAGACAGAGCCAGAATGGCAGACAAACATCAACAACCCGATCTTCCTTCCTGGTATTGTAGTACTTTTAAAGTTTTATTACCGGTGAATGACACATGATGTAGCCCAGCGGTTCTCAATTCCAGTCCTCGCGCCCCCCGCTCTGCATATTGTGCATGTCTCGCTTAGTTAACACACCCGTTTCAGATAACCAGCTCGTTAGAAGTGAGCTACGTGCATGAACTGTGTTC